TCAAACCAACCTGATACCTTTCTTTGACAGGGTAACAAGCCTTGTGGATGGGGGGGAAGCGGTAGATGTGGTATATCTTGACTTTAGTAAGTCTTTTGATACATGACCTTCTCATAAACAAACTAGGGAAATGCAACCAACATGGAGCTACTATAAGGTGGATGCATAACTGGTTGGAAAATCATTCCCAGAGAGTAGTTATCAGTGGTTCACAGTCATGCTGGATGGGCATAACGAGTGGGGTCCTGCAAGGATTGGTTCTGGGTCTGTTTCTGTTCAATATCTTCATCAATGATTTTGATAATGACAAAGGAAGGGGAATCAGAGGACTCAGATCTCCTAGACCTTTTAAGCTTTTTCTTCCTCTTTTTCAGCATTTTTTGTTTGTTTTTTGTGCTTTTTTAAGCTCATTTAGAGAGCGTACAAGCTCATTTGTGGCTTTGGTGGGGTTTTTTGTGACTAGCCTTGCTGAGGGCCTGATGTCCTCTCGCATGAGGTCTTTGAGTCCTCCTCTTCTGGGTTCCATTTCCTTGAGGAGGGGGGGAGGAGAAATGCTTCCAGAGCACTCCTGGCCAAACTAGGAAGATGGGGAGGGTGCTTATGAGTCCTGCTTCTTTTCCCAGGATGCTCAGGACCAATTTTAGGAGGGGGGGGGAATTTGTGACCCCACAAATATGCCCTTTTGTGTTCTCTAGAGGCCCTTGGGACTTACTATGAGTCAATTGACCGGGGTCCTCCTCATCCTTGGAGCCTCTTCCTACTCTGCACATAGACTCACGGTCCATTTTTCCCCATGTTGGAGTCAGTTGCTCTGGGGAGCAGGGGATCCCACATGCCTGTCTGACTCATAGCCCTGGGACTTAACAAGAGTCAGGGACAGAAGGTTGTGTGCAGGCTGGGCACAACTCACTGTCTGCCAAGTCTGGGAGGATAATCTCACAGATCAAGCACCATTTGGCTTTCATTCAGTGTGTTTTAGGCTGCTCTGCCATACCTGGAAGGTGCAGAGGAACAAGTAGGGAGGCCCTGCAGCAGAGGCTCCAGAGGATTCAAACACCCAGTTGAAAAACTGGCCCAGGAACCTGAGGGAGAAATCACTGCTCACCACTGCCCCAGATTTTGACCCAAAAAACCCTCAGGCAGATGAGGAGGCAGGAGCACTAAAACCACTGTCCACATGCTGCCACAGAGGCAGAGAAACTGGCCAGGAGCGGGAGTAGAGGGGAAATGGCCAGAGCAGCAGCTCTAAACAGTTGATCTGACTCCATGAGCTGCAAAGTGCAAAGAGCAGCCCAGACCTCAAGAACTGAGGGAGTCAGTGGGCTGCAGAAATAGGCATCTTGAGGTTATTAGCTACAGTAGTTAACAGTGTTTCAGCACCGGCTCCTCAATGTAAGGTTTGCTTGCCCAGTTTTGAGATGCACTATTGTCATCTTTACCCGTGGTATGAATTGGCTGAGAAGAATACATTACATGTATGTTTTACTTACTTCTAGATGCCACTAGCCTACACTGTAATATTCAAACTCATGCCTCACATTCTCTAGAGGCAGAAACAAGAGAATTGTTATACTGAAGCAGTTCAGAAATCCATCTAATTCACATCCTGTAATACTTCAAAGAGTAATGAGAACTAGTTTAATTTTTACTGGTTAAAGTAAATAAGTTGCATCTTAGTGAACTCCTTGCAGATCTGAGTCTTCAGCTGACACAATAAGAATGGGAGGATATTATGCTAAATTGAGAGAGTTTAAATGTCTAATTGAAATGAAAACAGTTTCCCAGCCCCATAGGGATCAACTTTAAGCTCTGGCTTAAAATTCATTCCTCGAAGACAGCATCTTCCTCCCTAACAGTGACTGTGAAAATTGAACAGTAGATCTGCTATGTAGTATGGTGTTGAATACTACTTTCATTTCCAGGTACTAGACCCTGGGATTTTGTGTTTAATTAGCCCAGAGAGCGAGACAAAAGGAGTGACAGCCTCAGGGTCCAGCAAGCTACCAGTTACAATTGCAGCTGCTACTTTCCCCATACCACCATTACCCCTCCTTCCCAAAAGAGCATCTCTACACATGGCATGTAGTTCTTCTCCACCTCATATAGGCTGCACAGTATTTCACTTGCCTAACCAAAGTGTCCCAAATGCGCCTTACATTTGAATTATTCTCCCCACACACATGTAAGAGACACCAGAAGAGCCTGTGTGAAAAATGATTTACCCAAGATCACATGGCAGATCTCTGGATATCTAAGCCAGTGCCTTAACCGGAAGACCATTTCTCCTGCTAAGAGCACCAGAGGATCTGTACCAGCAGCAGAGACTAGTCACCAAAACCGACAGGTGAAGGAAGGGGAAGTAGGGAACAACAAGTAGTACTGCCCAGTGGGAAGTAGCACAGGGTGACGCAGCACAAAACAGATGGAGCTTCTGGATTGGGTAGGGGGTGGGACATGGTCTGAAGCTAATGGGCAGAAAGTGTCAGCCAGGGAGCAATGGGCATAAGGTTTGGGAACGGGAGAAGAGGCAACCAGGACATGGGGGCTAGGGGGGAAGTGGTCAGGAGAAGACATGAGATTTAAAAGACTTGGCAAATGCCCAGGGATGTAGGTAGTGAGTTGGTGGGAGACCAGGAGCTACACCTAGAGTGACTGGGAAGCATGGGGTGAAAGCGGTTGGGGTAGGAGAGCAAGAGCCATGCCCAAGCTGCAGTGCAATGTTAACATGAAGTGAAGGTGCTGGGCAGACATCAGAAACCATGGCTGGGAGACAGGGATGAAGGAGCTGAGGGGAGGAAACCAGGAACAATGTCCAACGTGCACATAGAGGAGGATGGAGGTGCATGAGATGAAGAGCAAAGGGGTCCAGGAGCCATGGCTGGGGGGAGGTCTAGTATATGATGCAAAAGACCTTAGGGAACAGAAAGACCAGCAGCCCTACCCAGGATGTGGGGGGAGGGGAAGCAAAGGGTGAAGAAACAGGGTGGCCAGCCTTTATGCAAAGATATGCAGGAGTGGACACAGGGTTAAGGGGTGGAGGGCAGAAGCCATTTGCAGGATGTATGGAGAAAAAGGAGGGGGATCAGCAATTACATTCTGGGTGTGTGCACGGGGGGATGGGATGAAGGTGCTTGGAGTGACTAGCAGTGCACGGAGAGGGGAGGGAGGAGATGGAGTGGAGTGAAGGAATGGAAACAAGGAGACCAGGAGCATGGCCATGATGTGCAAGAGGGTGGCACAGAATAAAAGTGGGGAAGAGCAGTAGCCATGCCGCCCACAATGTGGAGGTGGGAAGGGTGAAGGAGTAATGCTTTGACTGTACATGGGAAGCGGGAGCCAGTGTGGGTGTAGATGAGCTGAAAGAAGAGGGGACCCAGGGTGTTTGTGGCAGAAGGCTTAAAGAGCTGGGGGGCTGCAGTTGTGCCCAGTACATGGGAGGCTGGGGTGTGAAGAAGCTGGTCGGTGAGAACCTGAGAGCATGCCCAGGACATACACGTGTGTGGGGAGAGAGGTGTGCAGGAGCCGGTTGGGGGGTGAGGAGCCATGTCTATGATTGTGTTGGAGGGAGAGATGAAGAGAAGGGGCTGGGAGACCAGAGTTATGTATCCAGGGAAGAGGAGGAAAGAGCCAGTGGAGACAGGGGACAGCAAATATGCTCAAGGTGCGTGAGGAGGATGGGGAGCAAGAGCCATGAACTGGGGCTACATGTCTGGAGAGGGGTTGAAGAAGCTGGGGGCGCAGGAACCAGGCATGGGGACCATGTGTGCAGGGAGGAGGTGAAGGAGCTGGGAGGGGCAGTAGCTATGCAAAGGATGTAGAAGGAGGAAACTAAGGTGTTGATGGGGATGGTGGGTCGGTGGCAGGGGCAGTGCCCTATGTGTGTCAGGGGTTGGGTGGAGAGAGTGAAGGAGCTGGGGGAAGAAGAGCCAGGGTCAGGCTGGGGAGGAGAGTGCGAAGGAACTTGTGAGGGAGCATGGCTAGGCTGTGCGTGGGGCAGAAACAGCACAGTGGAGGGGTGGAGAGAGAGAGACTAAGGTAAGGATAGCGCAGATGGAGGAAAGGAGGTCAAGCATGGGGAACAGGAACAACACAGCTAGGGAGATGAGGACCCATGGG